TTATGACTCCCAAATGTTTGTAGAGTAGTAATAAAAACTTCAATCTATTCTCAAACTCATTAAAGTGATCCATACAGAGTAATTAACACACAGGAAGGGCGTGTGCGCATCTTGTGTTGGTTTTAAATTACTTCCTATAATTGCTGCCATACTGTCATACTGTCCTTATTTAACGTATGCCGATAACCAACTATCCCTTTCTCTACCCTAATCATCCACTATTTGTGTAACTTGGAAGGTCAAAACTAAAGCTCAAGTTATACTGGTTTTAGATAAGTTTTGCCTCATTTTGACTCCGTAATTTTTAATTAGTTAAGTTGTAAATTATGGTATTGTATGGAATGTTCATATATCACCTAATTAATGCATTAAATACAATCTTTTATTGAGGTAGGTTATTCTTGGCGTGTGCTTAGTAATAATAGTGAAAATTGGGACCATGAAAATTGTACACTAAATGTATCAAGCATAGAAATTAATTTTGAGTGATGAAAATTAATTATTGGGCCTATCCACTGATTAGGTTATGTCACGTGTCATAAAGTTGTTTTTAATAGCAGTTTTATAGATATAGAGATACATTCATTTAAATACATTTACGAGTATTTGGAAATGTTGAAAAAGGCGATAATAAAAATCTTTATTGAAGTAAAATTAATAATTATACTCTACGTTAAGGAATGTAAATATATTTATTTTGTGCTAAAATTAAAGTATTCCTAATATTTTCGTAACGATAACAAAATAAATACATACTTACGTAGAAAACACCCACTCACGGGCGTATGCGCGCATATCCATATGGACACTTAGAAGAAATTGTTAAAGTTTGTATTGGGCGGGAATCGAATATACAATACTCGAAAGTTAAGGCGGTATGTTTAACCGCTATACAACCAAAGCCATTAAGTGATATATTTATTATAATTAATTCTTCCAAGGGTTTAAGGTTTAATTTACCACATATTTCATCTGAGTATATAGAACTACAGTTGTATATATTCAGACTTTGTCTGCATTTTCTATTAATACTCCACTCCTACTAATCGTAGAATAATATTTGTAGTCTATAGTTTTCCATAATTCATCGGACACTAAAATAATTTTTCAATTCGAACCAATAGTTCCTGAGATCAGCACGTTCAACTAAACAAACAAATAAACTTCCAGTTTATGATAGTTAGATTAATCTAACAATCTAATACCCAGTAGTGCTTTAAATCACAGTTTTAAACTGTTTCCGAGAACATCCAAATTGTCTGAAAAACAAACAAAAATAGTCGGTTGTATGAATCAATGGGCGAAGTAAAATTAAACAACCAATGCAGACAGGGACAGGCTATGTGAGTTGCAGTGAGTGGGAAGAGTGTAGCTATAGATAGGTCCGAGAACAATTATGTGGTTATAAATATATATATATACATATATATATATATATATATATGTATATAGTCCTATATCATACAAATATGTCTATCTAATGCTAAATAAAATAAACTAAATAAGCATATATGATTTTTAATTAGGGTTGACTTTCCTAATTCTGCGTCTCAAGAGGGTTTTATTAGATAATAATAGACCCAATGTCGATTCAGACAAAACGCATTATTAGATAGATCTTTTTTAATGGCAATTATTCATGTAAAGTCACTACTGACTTCTAAGGTCTTCCACTCTTCTTGTATTCTTCCATTTGGTCTTCTCAGGATCATATACACGATGTGATAATTTTGTTTTTTAACCTAGAATAAACTCGATTAAAGATAGATATAGAAATAAATATGGTAGTACCTACTTGTGATCTATAATAATAATGATCCTCATGAATTTTAACTTGTTTTTTTGTTCTAGAACCAGCTGTCTTTCTCTATATTATACGTATCATATACCGCTCCACTATCACCCCAATGATTACAGAATAAAAACCTCGTTAGTGACCGCCGTTCATTTTTTGCCGTACCCCAAATCATGTTCTCACTAATCGTTTTATGACACCTGATGGTTTAATGAGCGAGTTTTTTTAAACGTTTTGACGCTTATGGCGATTGCTGCTTAGATGCTTCGTTTTATAGTTTTACGAAATTTTATCCTACTAATATTATGAATGGTTTGTGAATGGATGTTTAGCTCATATTCGTTAAAAACTAGTCAACGGATTTGAATAAATTTGGTACACAGTTAAATTATATCACATACACACACAGCTTTGTTATTTGCTCAATAACACAATTTATTTCCTTCTTAGATAATCTACTATAAATTGAGATGTAAGCTATCCTACCTTTCAAGTTGGATCAAATTGCACACAATATGCAAATCAAATTTGCAATCGGTTCAGTAGTTTAGGAGTCCATCGCGGACAAACAACGTGACACGTAATTTTATATATTACCTACCCATTTAGCTACTTAGTATACTGTATACTACATAATAAACATAACCTAACCAGGTAATATAATATATAACATATATATTATATTACCTCCTAAAAAGATATAATTTCTGACCTAAGGAAGTAGTTATGCATTTAAAAAAGATTAACAACCCGCGATTAAGTGACAAAAATACTCAAATATTATATCTAATACACCGCCGTGAATATTTAAAAGGCAGCCGTAAAAAATACCTATGCCGTCATTACAATTCACGTCGTAACGTCTTCATCTCGCCGCACATTCGAATAACAACCGAAACTCATAATTTAGTAAGTCTCATTAGTATACGCTGTTACAAAGTTACTCCGGCCGCTCGCTCTAAAGACGCCGCCCTACGAAGCTATTGACATTCATATTTCAACGCTCAACGCAGCTAACCTACCACTAGACGTCGAGATACTAATTTTACGCCCAATCGAATTCGATAAAAATTAATACATCAACTCTAAATCGGTACGTACATCTAACGAGCAAAAAGCGACCTAACCTAATCAGCCAACCGTCCAATATTCGTTAATCGAAAAAAGAACTCTAATCGAACCTTTTTGCGCGCGGTTATACCAATGTCGTTAGGGTGACCATCGAGCTAATGGAATTCGAAACGGACTCGATTTTTAAACCGATCGAGAATTGTGTTTTTTTTTATTTTTTGGGGACAGTAACATGGACGTATCCGTCGGTACAGCTACGGATGAAGACATAAAAATCTCAGATCCTCGGCGGCGCGTCAAAAGCGGACCACATACGTTATTTTCGTGCGGTTTCGGGAATCAAAGTTCTCTTATTTGCTTGGTTATTCGCTAAATTGGTGGTCGCTCACGCCTTTGAGCTGCACTATTATTTCGGTTAAGATGAGCGCCTGCGAACGCCGGCAACGAACGCGTGATCGACAAATCATTGGGTTTTGCTCTTTTTCGGTTCTGACCCGACGGTGTTTGTTTTCGAACGTATCATATATGTGATTTAGTAAATTTGTTAGCCAGAACGCCTTTTGATGAAGGATACATTTAATGAAACCGATTAATATAGCGCTATTTTGTTAAAATTATAGTATCCATACATTTTAATACAATCAAAGTTTATTGTTATTTTTAATACGGAGTTATTTAAACTGATATTAGGCTGTAATCTTTTTTTATGTATCGTCCACAATAGTTCTATAATAAACTAGCTTCTCACCGCGACTTCCTCCGGGTGAACATGATTGACCGGTATCCTATTTCCTTAGTCCCAAATGCACGTAGAAACACATACATATTTAATATTTGAATTTAAATCACTTAATCTTGAATAGCTGAAGCAGAAAATCATAAAAGATCATACAAGTCTGATACTCTAATTAATAATTCATCAAGATATCGAAATAATACCTATATTAGATATAGTTGAGACGATAACTTTATAAAAAACTTGACTGAGTTATTATTAATATTTAAAAAAAAGTGTAGCGCTTTAATACACTGCAGACATTTTTAGGCACTAGCATAGGTGTTCTTTTTACTTGGGGGAAAATCCATTAGGATCAGTTTGCCTCAGGGGTTAAAAATCTCTTTGATATCTTCTCGCCGCTATAGAGTGGTCATAAGTCCGTAGAGGATCCTAGTATAGGTGTTCTAACAAAGCCTGCTCGTATTATTACTTTAATTAGTGATTCCTTAGGTCGTTTCAATCACAGTGAATTTTATTGATGATTTGTTAAACAGGCGTCTTAAAGTTTTATTGATCGATCTTTGCAATTTATTACCAATTAAGTAGAATTATACAACAATGTTCTTCTGTGGAGGCGGTTCAATTAAATATAATGAGGTATAGTGATGGATATTTTAGAATTAATAATACGAAACTAGCCGTTTTCCCTAACTTCGTCTATTTTTGAGATAAAAGATAGAATATGTTCAATCTCATGATACAATGTATTTTTACATTAAACTGCATTATAATTCTTCAGGAGTATAGTCATGAAAACATAATAAACAGGCCGATAAATATACACTTTGCGTTTATAATATCAGTATCGATTATTGGATATCTACCTCCCACTTGAATAGTTGAAGTCGTGTTAACAACATTTTGAATCAATACGGCACACTGTGCCAAAGTTTTGTTTGTTAAAGAGGACGAACGCAGGAAGAACAGTCAGAAATGTGAATCAATACAGAAAGACACAAAGACGACAAAATTCTAGTTACAATTCAGTTGTACATTTTAATATTTTCATTACATCATACATGGTCTACGGAAATATATAGTTTCATGCAAAACCTCGGATATAAAATTGGCACAAGATATTCAAAATTTTGCATGGTCGACCTTTTTTGACGGTAGTTTACTAGACGTGGTCATGTTTCATAAATAGATTATTTGCCTTGAAAGAAATGATTTATGTTCTGTGCTGATTTTATTTATACGTCTTGATGCTATAAGAAAAATGCAATGTGTAAAATTGTGAAAGATGAAAAATCGACCTTACCTACTCAGCCAAACGTCCAATATTCGTTAATCAAGTCAATGAGACGCAAAGTTAATAACTGTTTCTAACGATGATAATTTCTTTATTGTTCACAGGTTTAGAGTACTTAAGTGCAGCGAGGAGTCTACATCCAGAGCTGCATGCTGGCAGTACCCTCGCCAGTCAAGACTTCCAATTAAGTTTAGAAGGTGTGTAAATTATACGTTGTACTTATTAAAAAGAAAGAATATCCAGAGCTTATAAATACAATTAAAAAATGAAATTAAAACATATGTCAAGGATAAAGCACAGCACAAACACAGTTCAGCAATGGCTGAACACGGTTTTAGGGCGTGTATGTTTATATTGTTCACTGTACTTCCTACTTTCAGTTTTTCTACATGCATCAATCTATTCTTTACTCTACCAGTTACTGGTACTGTTTATTTCGTCACGTCATTAAAATGTATCTTTCAAAATTTAAATGCATGCAATGCAAGTTTAAAAAAGAATAATCAATATTCCGCAGAAGAAACATTTTTTTTATAGTGTAATTAAATTGCGAGATTGTAGTGATCACTTAGATATTTAATTATTAACCCAATCCAATATACATGATTAAATGTGGACTTTTTTGCCAAGTATATTCGATCGGGTAAATTTTAATCAGTTATCAGCTATTACATCACCGGAGATTTAGTCAATTATAAATTAAGACTGAAAATACAAACTCTTTATTCTTATTCTTTTTTCTATTTTAAGTATAGATGATAAACTATTAGGCTAACAACGCTGTCGTTATTATTTAATTTACAATTCATATTTTTTTCTAGGTTCAAGAATAGCATCTCCTACCCGTTTGAGGTTATCAGGAGGTGCGATTGGCGCTTCAGTCAATCGCAAGCGGGCGGTGTCCTGGAGTCCATACTCTGCTGAGTCCCTCGATTTGGCAGCCGTGATCCGAGCATCGCCCGCCAGCTTGGCTGTTAGAGCGCCATCTGCCGCCTCCACAGGAAGCTATGGACACCTCAGTGCTGGTAAATACCATTCTTAGACTGTTCTATTAAACTCTGTGTTTTCCATGAATCAAATCAAGTGATTCACATTTCGCCACCCATCCGTGTTGACTGATAAATTGGGCCGACATCTTGTTGGCAATTCCAGCTATAAACGTTTGCGATCTCGACAGCTGACAATTTTTTTCATACTTATTAAGTTAGTAATTTCTAGCAGTTACGGAAATCATTTTAATATATCTTTACAGAAAAATATACATGTCCATCAATATATTATTCATCTGCTTAGGAATTTTTATAAACAATTGGAGTGTTATATATTTAGGAAATTGTACTACATTACAATTTCATTACTTTATTCACGGTTAATTGCACCGTTTACGTTTGCCGTTATCTGCAGATCTGCAGATTTTGGCATGCTGAAGAGGAAACGCCACTACATGTATGTGTAGTAGCATTTCCTCTTTAACTTGGATTATAGCTCATTCATGTATGAACGATATATTTCCTATGGAAAGTATACACTCTATCCTAAGGAGATAAAAACTATCGCACCTTATAAAATCATATATATTCAATTGTCCCCGTCGGGTCTAGGTAGCGAACTTTGAAAAAGGGCGGGCACAATAGATCTAGTGACCTATACCTGACTATAACCCAAAACTCTCAATATTCTACGTCCAAATAATATATAATCTTAAACAAAAATAAATATCTAATACTGCGGTGTCTTGTCACCCAATTTTGTATGTAATATTTAGGACCTATAAAAAGATAAATTATAAAAAAAATATCATCATTTCAGGAGCAATATCACCAGCGCTATCATTATCACATGCGTCACTTGCGCAACAGTTGCTTGCGAGAGGTGGCGTAGTCGGGGGTAGTGGGGTGCTGGCCGGTGGGGTACTGTTGGATCCTGCCCACCAACAGGCGGCGGCGGCAGCGGCCCACCATGCAGCGCATGCGCATCTGGTCGCTGGAATCCACAGGTGAATTTAATTGATTTATGAAAATCGTAGTAACGTTCTTTTTATTTAACGGTCTCGGTGGTTTAGGGATTCCGCACACAGCTATACTTCCAATGGTCGCGGATTCGGTTCCTCGCGTGGTACAAACATTTGTATTCATAAATTTGATTGTTAATATTGGTCTGGGTGTCTTTTACTTATAATATACATATATTTAAAAAAAAAATAAAAAAATGTATTAATATCAGCTGTCTAGTACCCATAACACAAGTCCTGTTTACCTTGGAACTAGATGAAGTTGTGTGAATAATTCAGGGGTATTATTATTAATATTCTCGTATATGATTTTGTTTTTTATATAATTTAATGGCTACATTTCATATAGCATATTAATTTTTATCTCGCATTTTTATCATCCACAGATCTCATATATCGTCCCCTACACAACTTCTTATGGGCACACCAGTCGACGTCAGACAGATGGGGTTGGATGGCACCCCACCACAACACATGCAGCAACCCCCTCAACAACAGGAAGTGACCAGCATCATGGAAGCGGACAGCGCTTCAAATATAATTCAGAGGAAGTCACCACAAAGCTTAATGAATAGAGATAATCACCATAGCAACAAGCCGCTATCTGCAGCAGCCGAAAGTACCGTCCATGATGGTGTGGACTCTAAAGATGAACCTGGAGATTTCATCGAGACCAACTGTCATTGGGTAAGTTTATCTCTTCTAATATATATTAAAAATGCTGCTTGTGGCTCTTCATATTTAAAAGGGCACCAACCAAAAACTACTGCGTAGAATTAATTGCAATTTTACACACACAAGCCTTGTTATATGAGCTCTCGAAGCATATAAAAATTATACGGTTTAAGTGAGAAGTAGAGCGTAAAAAATACAATTAAATCCTCAGTCAGGAAAAAAGGAAATTACTTCCCGAACAACCTAATAAAATTCTCGTGTCACAGATTTCGTGTTTATACTCCTCCAAAACGACTGGACCGATTTTAATGAAATTTTGTGTATTCAGTAAGTCTGAGAATAGGTTTATAACTAATTTTTATAACCCTAAGTATTGACGGTGCTTCAAACCAAAAAAAAATTTTCTTTTTTCGACAATTTTTTATATTTTACTACACATCATTTTACCTAAAATTTTTACCCTTCGATCACCACCCCTTATTTTTTATAGCGTTGTTAATTTATATGGCAAAACAACGTTTGCCTGGACAGCTAGTTTTATATATTTATTTAAGTTTTGCATTCCATAATTTTACAGTAAGCAATTAGTAGGTAGTTAACTTAACAGTAGAACAATTACTTTTCGTTTCGACTTAGATCATACTCCAAACTTTCACAATGAATAACTTGAAAGATTAAATATAATTTATGTACATGTAAGATTCCTTAGCTGCAGTAAAATAAAGATTATTATTATGGATTTCAGGTGGATTGTAAGTTGGAGTTTCCAACACAAGACGATTTAGTAAAACACATCAATACGGATCACATCCACGCGAGCAAGAAGGCCTTCGTCTGCCGCTGGGTTGGATGTTCTCGTGATGAAAAGCCTTTTAAAGCTCAATACATGTTGGTCGTGCATATGAGGAGGCATACAGGAGAAAAACCTCATAAATGCACTGTAAGTATCAGTATACATCTTATTGCCATATATTTGACAGGCTGGCGGTTTGCACCCAGTTTCGTTTTGCAACCATCGGTATAAACCGCTTTATTTCCGACGGTTGCAGGTTCGATTCCTACGATGATTCAAATCTATTCATGAATATGATTGTTTATGATATTGTTTAGTTATTTATACATAATTTAAAAAATACGATTCTGCACTCCTTCTCGTATACCTATATATATTATAAGTGTGCGAAAGTTCATCCGTCCAAGCAATTTTCGTAAAAACCTTTGTACCCCACAAAGATTTTGCTTCACATATTAGTATATAGATTACGTATGTATTTATAAAAAAATATATTTAAAAATTTCTATAAATTATTAATATCCTATAACACAATCTTAATCTTGAAACTTGTGGTCTAAAATAGACTATAGAATTAAATGGACGCTTATAAATTATTCAATGTCTTTTTCAGTTTGAGGGTTGTTGCAAAGCTTATTCTCGTCTCGAAAACTTAAAAACCCACCTTCGAAGTCATACGGGAGAAAAACCTTACACATGCGAGTATCCCGGTTGCGCGAAAGCCTTCTCCAATGCTAGCGATAGAGCGAAACATCAGAACAGAACGCATAGCAATGAGGTGAGTACAAGTCCGTAGCAATATTTAGGCTCTTTATGAGTGATAAACGATCTAATGGACCACCTGATGGAAAGGGATAACCGTCGCAAACATAGATGACACGTGGCATTGTGGTATCTATTGTAAATACTTAATTTCCTAATTAAGTATTTATACTCCTGTCTATATTCCTGACGATTAAAGTTTCCTATATTGTGTATTATTTCATCACATATTTATGAGAAATTACACGGTTAGATGCTCAAAGTTACAAGTGTATACAAGTGTGTATGTATTCATCAGTGTGTATTAGGATTCATTTATTCATATATATATTCATCAACATAAAGCTACAGGCTACAGATTTATCTGTAGCTTTATACTAAGTTGGTTGCCCACTCACGTTTACGACACATAAAGCTACCTCCATTTTCTTTATTTTCCATCATTATTTCTTTTAGTTTTTATGAATAACGTGAAGGTTTAGTATTTCTATATTTAGTAAATCATTTGTTATAGCAACATCATACATGTATCTGTTGCCATTTGTGAAAGACTGTGGTGGCTTATTCGTTTTACTAATTGTATCAACGTATATGAAGTATAGACATGGTTTTCCTGTAACAAGTATATAAATAATTATTGGTATTTCAGAAACCGTACGTCTGCAAAGCTCCTGGTTGTACGAAGAGGTACACCGATCCTTCATCACTTCGGAAGCATGTGAAGACCGTGCATGGTGCTGAATTCTACGCCAGTAAAAAACATAAAGGTAACTTGAATCTGTCATTTACATATGCATTTGTATATTACATATGTTTGTATCACTGAACAAAAATCAGATAATAATAATAATCTAGACCCAAGTAAAGCTAACTAAAGCTTGTGTTATGGGTACTAGATAACTGATACAAATATATAGATTTTTTTTTCGTAAATACATACATATTGTACATAGAAAATACCCAGATCGGTACAAACAATCATACTCATGAATACAAATGTTTGTGCCGTGCGAGGAATCGAACCCGCGACCATCGGACTTAAAACGATGTGCTAGACCGCTAGACCACCGAGGTCGTCAAATTCAATCAGATTTAATTAAGTATTTACTACTAACTTTACAGTGTTTAAATTCACCACTAAATACTATATATTCGTATCCCTGTGGCACATACTTTGTTTATGGTTTCTATTTAACGTTTATAAATAAAATTATTGAATATACAAGTAATTACACTCCTAACATTCTTAATTCTTTTAAGCTTGTATCATAATATGACAGTCGATTTGAAGAAAGATTTTATGTATATTTACAAATTAAACAACATTTTGAAATTAATATTATTAATTTCTGACTCTTCAGCGATTAAAGATTGATAAAAACAAACATCTAAGAGACTGTTACATTGAATATAAATATTGTTAGCGAAAAGTATGCATGACAAAAGTTGCGTTCACGTCGACTGTTGATAGTAGCTCTGATTACTCCATCTAGAATATAACATGTAAATTACATTTCAGGTTGTAGCCGAGGCGATGATTCCGCGGAATCAGGAGGTGGCGGAGCTGGTTCTTCTCCACGTTCTGAAGAAGGCGGAGTACCAATTGGGGTTAGGGGGCATACGTCTTCAGCGTCAGTCAAGAGCGAAAGCCCTGCATCACCACTGCCTCTTGGGTTGCATACTCCTGCACATCAGGTAAACAAAATAATTTAAATACCTTTATATCCTCTTGAAGACTATTAAGTACCATCTTGAAGTAACGAGTATTAAAAAAATACAGCCTAATTAACAAATCCTTCTTTTTTGAAGTCGGTTCATAAATATATATTTATACCATATGATATTTCAGTTATCTGCCCAATGTGGTGGGGAGCTGGATTTCGGCGGATCTGGGCTTGGTGGATTCAATGACGAGAATGGTGCTCCCTACTTCAGGCTTGATGGAGAGGTAAGTTATCAACTTACAAAATGCTTATTCCTTTACTTAAAACAGCTTATTCCTTCTTAAAAGGCCGACAACGCACTTGCAATTCACTTTATTATAAAAACAACAATGACTGACAATTAAAATTATGTGACTGTGTGAAAAAGCAGTATAGCTTTATGTGCACACAGGGCCGTATATGATATAGTAAATTACGTATAAATTAAATTTATAATTAGGTGTACAAATATAAAATTTGACATTTTTTAATTATTTATTTTATTTTATTTTTAACTCTTTATTGCACCTTTAAAAAAATACAACATAAAACAATATTTATAGTATGCAGGTACCAAAAGGCGGTCTTATCGCTTAAGCGATCTCTTCCAGACAACCTTTGGGTAGAGGAGAAAAGACAAAAAGTGGTGATGATGGTGACTCTTATTCTTTACATGTCCATCTTACAAGTTTCGTTTTTCTTCAGGTGGAGCAAGAAGTGGTTGGTGAAGTGGGTCAACTGCCACTAATGCTTCGTGCTATGGTTGCCATCGGTGAACCACGTGCCCATCACCACACGCCGCGGTTCGGGAACAACAAAATGGGGGTCGGACGATTGATGCCGCCCGGACATGGGGCTGATATCGGTGGAGGTATGATTCTTTAATTTAATATAGCTGAGAAGATAACTAAGAAAATATAAATGATGATGATGAATCAAAAAGATAAATGGACTGTGTGAAAGATAATATGCATAAAAGAAGAATAAGAATAGAAATAATCTTTATTCAAATACATCTGTATACAAATAATGTGCACCGAGTTTTGGTGGAGTTTTGTAGCAAACACCGCGACACGAAAATTTTATATGTTAGATTATTTTATTGTTGTTTTCTGAATTAGATATATATGAATATTCACAGGTAACATCCCAGGGCGCACTGAACTAGGAAACACATCCGTAGCTGTAGAAATAAAAACGGGCGTTCCTAATACTAGGCGAGACTCTGGTATTTCTTCTGGAAGTAGCCTTTATAGTGCCAGGTAAGTTGAATTATTATTTACTTAAAAAAATATCAATTAAGTTAATTGTCAATGTTTAGTAATCATTAACAATATTTTATCATATTTACTTTGTATTTAATAAATAGTAAAACAATTTTAGTTTATACGTTAAAGTGTAAATTATATAAACCCGCAGTTATTATGTTTTTCACGAATAATGCGGTCTGACGTAAACATGACTGCATATTACTTAGGGCGTTCTTGATATTAACAACAGCGGAGGCATCTCCTGTTGCCAACTTTGTATGCTTTTTTAAAATTGATTTAACTTCAATGCACACAATATAGAAAATATAGTAAAGTACATTTGGCGGACTTAACACCATGCGGCTTTTTTCTTGTGTTTACTTTTAAATTTATTCATGTTTGTTAATTTTCTGTCTATCTATCTATCAACATCATCAAACACAACCTCTAATGCCGTGACATATTATAAAGCTGTATATATCACGCTATTTTCCATGATTATATTATAATTATAAGTACCCTTTATATCAGCTGGAACGTCCGTAAATGAAACCAAAAAGTTGCAAGTCCAATATTCCAAAAGCAATTTAGTACACTTGGTGTCTATATAATTGTTTTTTTTTGTCTTAAGGTCATCAGATATATCCCGTAAAAGTAGCCAAGCGTCAGTTGTATCTGGAGCTGTAGCAGCAACAGTAGGCGTCGTCGCGGCACAGCGACTAGTTGCACACCAGGCTGTAGTTTATGACCAGTTATCACCTGATAGCAGTCGGAGGTACGTATATCATATTGACTTATTAGCTTACCGAGTTGGAATTTGTACAAAGTCACCTACGTCTCACATATTTCGAAGGCCAAGCTTGCTTTATAAGATTTTATTCTGTTCAAGGGCGATATAAGACAGTGAAATTACAGGACGTGAAGGCATGATGCCTTAGCTCTCATGGCATCATGTGAGCCATGTTTTCCATAGTGTTGTTCTTGTTATTTTATTGTATTAATTTACTAATAAAAGCTATAACAGAATAGCAAAGAGGGTGGACTTACTGCCTCCTCTGAATTATAGACCATTTTGTCTCAATTCCCTCTTAATTTTATTGTAAGTAATTAATTAAGTAATTGTAATAGTTTATTATTTGAGACAAATAAAGATGATATATTATTGTTATATACGCAGTTCTTAAATATAATATATTTGGTGGAGTTCTCAGGTTAACCTTCAGCTTGTTTGCCATTCCAGTTGCTTATAAAATAGATATTAAGCGATGAGGAAGTCAATAATGTTGCTATAAAAAATCAATTAATTATCTTCCAGATCTAGTCAAGTATCATGTGTTGGTTATGCCCCGGCACCATCATCAGCTCTTGCAGCTGTTCAAGCGGTCAGAACATCCCAAGGCAATCAGGCGGTACTCCTTCGAGGTGTGACATGTTCGGAAGTCAGAGCTGAAGAGTTGGCGTTGGAATTGGATCCTAACGTCCAAGTCAAGGAGGAAGCCAGGCGACTCTCGGAGCAGTCCAACTTGAGTGATCAGACCCAGGCATACCAAGCGTATCCCTGTGGTACGGATGATGTGGTGAGTGTTTTATCTAAATTATTTTAAACTGTTTGTTTTTTGGTTAACAGATATCGAATATTCGTTCTCGTAATCTATCTTCACATCAGTTTTAATTAAGATTCGCTTGTAAAGTATGTCTGTATGTCTCTTTGTTACATACAAAGTGACATACAGACATACTTTGACATTTGTAATGTTATAAGAATGAAAATATTTTCTCTATAATCATGTATTAAAAAAAACTATAATAAGTAAATAAACAATATATATTTTTTCTTCAGGGTGATGCTCCATTCCCGTTTAAAACAGAAGATGATCATGATACGGTGACATACAAGGAGTCACGTTCGAACTCCACGAATACTGTGGTCATAACAACCGCTCAGGTCCATCATCCCAACCAAGAAGTTAATCTGGAACAGGTAAAAATATTATTTTGTGATTCGTAATTGTTATTTAACAAAGTGCTTGTTGAATTTATTGATTAATATTTTTTCATTAAATAATATATAAATCGTATCTCTACAGGTAGCGGAAGGTGAAATGGTGGAGAATAAGCTGGTAATACCAGATGAAATGATGCAATATCTTAACCAATCAATATTGGGAACCGAATCGGTAGTACCAGCAAAAACTGAATCCACCAACCCACCTAATCCAAAAGCGGCAAATAAAGACAATAATATTCCAACCAAAGACAATACAAACAGTGAAATACAAAACACAAACAATTCCAGTGACAAAATCAGTGATGTAGCGACCAGTGACGATTCTCTACTCAAAAATTTAGGTGCCATAGGAAGTGATCTCAATATAAGTGATATTCCAGTTGATTTAAGATCTTTAGACGTTAGCATGTCAGGTAATAGTGGCTCTCTTTTAGTTACTAAATCACCAGATGACAAAAATCCTCTCCAAGAACAGGTCATACCTGAAATTAGCCCAGAAAATTGTGAACAAGACTATACGCAATCGTCGAATAATATTGTGACAAATAATCCATTACAGTCATTACAAACAATGGCGGCAAATCAGCCGGAACACTCTAATAGAATGAGAATTAATACTTTACCTCAGAAGCAAAATCAAATGAGTCCTAAATCAAAGGGTTCGCAGAACGCAAGCCCGCAAAGTATGCCACATAATATGTTGAGTCCACAAAGTCTACCACCGCTGGTGTCAATGAGTCCAAGGAGTGTTATGAGTCCTCATAACATGCCTCATAGTGTTATGAGCCCACCGAGTGTATATAACGTAATGAGTCCACAGAGCGTCATGAGCGTTATGTCACCTCAACATAATGCTATGAGTCCGCAAAGTATGCAAAGTTTGATGAGTCCACAAATGCCTCAAATGATGATGAGCCCACGTCATAACAATGTTAGTAGTCCAATGTCTCAAAATATGGCAAGCCCTATGATGAACATGGCGAGCCCTATGCCACAAAATATAGCCAGCCCTATGAGTCATGGTATGCCAAGTCCGATGCATCCAGGACTTCAGAGTCCAATGGCGCAAGGTGCAATAAATCCGATGGTACAGAATATTCCGAATATGAATGCTTCGGTGCCAATACAAAACCAAAATATGATAAACATGAATGGAGTTCCCCAAACGCAACCAGCACCTCCAAGTTATATGAATCCACATCAAAACTATAATCCCAAAGTAACAAATAGAAATAATGGTCCTACACAATATCAGAATCAAAACTTCAACCAAATACCACCATATCCAATACAGAATCAGCAAAATGTAAATTTGAGGAATCAAAACATGCAACAGTATCCGATGATGCAGCAATATAATCAAAATCAAATGCCAGTTCTGCATCAGATGCCTTCGAATCAGCAAAACATGATCTATAACAATAATCAGATGATCAATTATTCTCAGTCTATCAATTACCAAAGCCAAAACAGTCAGATACATCCCTTACAAATGTCAAGATCATCTGTGATGAGCGTGGACAATAGTGGAAATATGAGCAGAGGAGCAATAAACAACTACTGCGATCAACAGAATCAAATGCAAAATATTCAATACAATCAAAATATGCAATATCCTCAACCTCCACCATATAATTCTGTTGTAAATCCAGTAGCAAATGCGACGAATGTCATGGGTCCTCCCCCTCCGAAGAACAATCATCAATATAACCAAGCAATGATGAACAATAACCAGTATTATAATCATCAGAGGCCATACAATCAATGGGATTACCCTGGTAATCAATTCAATAAACATAACATGCAGAAATCTGTCCAGAACTCTGTTAATATGTCAACAGGAAGTCAAAAGCCAAATTGTGCTACTAGAGTATCTGCAAATTGTAATCAGATGCTGAAAAATGGTGATCAGCAAACAGATTGCAGTATGAACAGCTTGAGAAGCGGAAATAACCAAGCTAGTGATGTTCAGGTGTGGGATATATCACAGTCGCAGATAGAAGCATCGAATGGAAGAAAGAAGAATCAAAATAGTACCATGCGTCAAGAAACTTATCAAAGAACGCTAGAATACGTGGAGAACTGTGAGAATTGGAAGAGTTCAGAAATGGTGTCGAGTAGTACCCATCCTCCACAGGGTGGGGATAACATGGTTGTGAATGACCTCCAAACGTCACTTTCTTCATTTTATGAAGAGAATCAGTACCTCCAGATGATTCAATAGATTAATTGTAAAATATTATCAATAACCTCACTAAGTTACGCGATTCTATTTCCATCCATATTTTCATTACTAAATCTCATAATTTCAGTAATCTAATAGAAGTATCTATAATTTTTTACATTACAGTTTATATATATACAATTAACTTAGCTTAAACATTTTAAAGAGAAAACATCATGAACAAATGATACTATTTCATAGACTACTAATAATGATATCAAAAACTTAATTTTGATACATTGAACTGTTTGTTTACTGGTTTTTGTGTATTGTGATGACGATTTTACCTTTCATTATGTTTGTGATTTGTTTATTACTTGTTATATTTAGCCCTTACTTCTTTTCTAATTCTGCAGTCTTGTCAATACCCAAATTACAATCTTTCACATAAAAAACCCTTATTCTTAAGTCAAGAACGTAAATAGTAACAAATATTACTATGACAGCCGAGCTGTGGGGTGTGTATGTTTTCCAGGTTATGTAAAAAATCAAATGGAAATAGATATCGACGTTCGCCCGACGTTCTTCTAAAGCTTGGCGACTGAAGGTGAAGGTTGTAAAACTGTTTTGGAGACTGATTATTATTAAATTTATAAAGTTAGTTGAATACAATTTATAAGTACAGTACAAGATCATTTATAATTAAAAGACACATTGAGAAATCATGTAAATATTGTAATTGTTTCACTGTCTTCCACGATTAAGAATATTTTATTATTAAGCATTTACATAAAATTATATAAGTATATCTCTTAAGTGCCTTATGTACATAATATAGTGTACAAACTTTAAGAATTTAATCTACAAGGGAGTGTAATAATGTGCCTCTACAAAAATTGTTGAAACTAAAATGTGTTTTATGCCTTTATTGTAGAGTTGAATTTGTCTATTATAGTATGTAAGTTCTGAGATTATTAGAAGAAATATAAGAAAATTGTACAAATAGTGAACATTTTTCTAGAATTTTTACAGTGTTGTTGAATTAGATATTAATTATCAATTATGTTATAATAAAATCATAGGTAGACATAATTTATAAAGCAATATGAAACTTCATTTTTGTAAGACATTGAATCTCCTAGTTTAGAATTTTATGAGATTATTAGATGTAAGTATTTGTTAATTATTTTTTATTTAAATACGTAAATGAATGATAAACGCACAAAATAATTGTAATAGATTGAAAGTTATAGTGTATTTTGTAATAAATTATTGTTTTTCTAATGTTGTGAATGAAACAATCGAGTACATCTCTGACAATATTTTAATGAAACGATTAAATAAAATTTCTTATTACGAATATCTTATTGTTTCTTTTTATCAGAACTCCCAACTTTATATGTTACGTGTATTTGTAATGTGGATGTGAAATTGTGAAAACTTTTGAAATCGAACCAATGTGGGCCCCTAGTAGTTTCGGAAGTTATCCTCAAGGAAATTGATATGATTAGCATCCTGTCTTTACAATATTAGTATATACTGTAACATACTTTGACAACATTGAAATATTGCTATCGCAATATTTCAATCGAGATTTTGTCGTGAAATATTTATGTTTCGCATTGCTCGGCTCATCGGCGTCATCTCATCTAATGTTACAGAAAATATAAGAGTATTTTTTTCGTTATTCTAAAAATTCATTATAATGTCTTGAATACTTTTTCAAATTTTTTATACTGTCTTGGTTGTTAATACGAACGAGCCAAAGGTAGGTCCTTTATGCTAGTGAATATAGAGTTTTCAGTTACAAATAATTCTATACAAACTTTATATTTTGTCACAATTTAGGGCTAGAATACGCACGAAAAATAGAATATATTTCCATGCATAAGTATTATATAGTTTGTAATAATGTAAGTAAATCTATTATAAATAAAATCATTAATATATTTTCAAAAAACTAATAAAATTAAGAATCTCTTCCAAGTCAATAGTGATTCGAAAATGACAAAAGAACTCTAAACGAACGAAGACTTCTAAAATTTCAATAGGCATGTAGTATTCTTCAAATCTATAATACCTACGAGAACAGACAGAAATATAAACCTCGCCGTTGACATTCCGCCGCATCACGTCACAGATGCGTTAAAATAACCATATTATTTCGGATGTTGCCAACAGGCGGTATCAATAAAATAGGTCTATTATAAAAATGTGGACAAGCGAGAACGCTAATTGCACTCATGGTTCTTTTTTTCGGACAACTCTAATGCTGTTTGCCGCAGCTGGCCTATACAGCTTCACCGGACGATAGGGGGCGAGTGCAGATAATACTCCAAACCTGCGGAAGAACTTATGGAGCGAGTGAAGGCCAACTCCCGCCAGACGGATACCTTAGCTCAGGCCGTCGTAATTTTAAATTATGCTCATATACAGTGTACCATCAGAGACTCAGACTCAAAAATATGTACCATTAGATACATATTTTTTATATCAGCCTGATTCGAATTCCCGGCCTTTGAATCTAAGTCGTGAAGTAAACCACTAAGTTATTATGTTTTCAGAAGCATAATTTCGTCATCTGTTATATTAAGGAATATCTGAATACAAAGATATATGGGTCAAACACAACTCGTCAGTCAAAGATGCGTACAGTCGGTTAAAAATATTACTATGCGTCATGCATCCATCTTGTAGACAATAATTAATCAAAGGTAATCAAAGTAAAAGCAAATATTTTGATATTCGCATTTTTTTTTCGGACTACTCTAATGCCGTTGGCCACCGCTGGCCTTTACAGCTTTACCGGACGACAGGGGTCGAGTGCAGATGGCACTCCAAACCCACGGAAGGACTTATGGAGCGACTGAAGACCAACTCCCGTCTGACGGATACGATTTTAGTATGAGAACAACTCTGGGTTCAAATCTCGGCTCAGGCCGTTGTAATTGGATGGGGGATCGATCGGAGGAGAAATATTTGCATGTGTGTCGCCTAATTATAGACTTAAAGAATTAAATGGCTAGACGAATTTAAATATTTGCTACTCAAGTAGACTACAAATAGTTACTATCCTAAATCACTTTTTCAAACATTTCCCAAAATTAATGGTAAGTAAATATGATAGACAAAGAATTTTTAGAGAATGCAACAGGAGTCCTGAAAGAAAACAATAAGTAATAGAATAAGTATAATAAATAATTAAATAAAGAAAAAAAACTTAGAAATACACATACAGGATAATGATAATAATAAGACATAGGTCAAAAGAATATCGCCAGAAAGATAGTGACTAAAAAAAAAACTTTTTCTGCTAAGGTACACTTTGCAAGTCGTCTACCAATCCAAACAGGGGTCATCATCATACAAGGAACCCTAAATCCGAAAGGGAACTTATTCATTGAAAAGACACACATTATACTGTGATCTATTTAATCCAAATTTCGTGAATCCTATACTGAACGTAACATTGTTGAAATGGATTTATCCCATTAGCACTATATATTAGTATCATAAGAAGCTCAAAATTGTACGTTAAATATATTTTACTCACCAAGTCTATTCATATAGGATTAGCTGTGCCTGCGACTTCGTACGCGTAGAGTAATGAATGATAGCAATTTTAATAATTTAGACTTATTGTTTTACAAATAGTCTTATGCATGTCATTGTTCTAGTTTCAAAAATGACGGATTTCCATACAATTTTCATCCCCTATTTTAGTTTACCCCCTTAAGTAAATTTCTTTTACAATCTTTGAAAATCATATTCATTTATATTTAACAACAGCCTAAAATATAAGTTAGACTTAGCTTTTAAATATGACGATACTTCCATACAACCGCCTGACGGACACGACAATACGATACTTCCATACAACGTTTCATTTCCCCATTCAACTTACAACCTTTTTTACGCATTAGCTTATGTCCTTTCTCAGGGTCTAAAGTAGAGTAAACTCTCTGTGTACCAAATTTAATTTAAATCGGTTCAGTAGTAGTTTTGCTGTGAAAGCGAGACAGACAGAGTTACTTTCGCATTTATAATGTCAGCAAAGTAGGTAATTAATTTAATTAGGTAATACTTGTTTTCGCGTATTAACTTCTGTCGATAATCTAAAGTATCATGGGCTTGGAATTTTGAAAATTAAAAAAAGTTAATGCTTTTGTTAAAACTTTTTGTTTATTTAAAGGGTAGTGACAAGGCACTCCAATGGTCGTAGTTATAGTAAAAATGAATAAAAATAGAGAGATGCTTGTAGAGACGTTAATTACAGATGAGCGCAATGACAGAAGTATTGTAAAACAAAATGTATAAAAAGAACTCTCATATTTTAAATATGGATAAACGAATATAAAAACTGCCAGTGACTCTCATTGTAGGTCTATCAGTTATAATGGGTTTGGAGGTGGTTATATATAACCTTAAGCTACATAACATAAATCGTATATAATATTTCGCCGCGAAATCGTTAAGAGCGATGGATTTACTCGCGACATTATTCTAAACGAAAGCCCACATTGTGTAAACGAGCATTATCAGTATAATTTCAGTGCCAAGCTCGTATCTTCAGTTTCCACGTACCATTAATTGGCGTGGTATTTTGGTATAGCTAAATATACTGAGAGGTTAGTACACAGGTGCTCACATCTCCGCTCTCTCAAGTCGGTTACTCACTGATGTTTTTACAGTTAAATAAATAACCATGGACAATTAGCAGCGCCGTCTAGTCCCACGGAAAGCAAAGCTTGTGCTAGGGTACACATCCATCTCTTTTCGGCCTTCCTCTGCCCTTATAACCATCCACTCTTCTTGTCGTTAAAGTCGTAACTCGCTACGCAATAACGATGAAACACTGTATGAACTAATTATATATATATCACACACACATGCATGCACCGACACTATATGTGTGAGCATACACACACAATTACACATATATATATGCATATACCAACTTATATAACAGAATAGATATCTGAGCTGAGATTCATTTATGAAACTGAGTTGGATGCGAATCCAATGCAACCTAAATGGTTCATAACACTGAGCCGTGTGACGAGTAACTGAGAGTGCACACCATATGTACGTTTGATACTGAGGAGGCTGAGTCCCTTGGTTATGTCCAACGGGATGCAGTACATTGTTATAGTAAACTACTAAACTACGTGCACCAATGAGTAACATACGGAGCTGAGTTCGATCTGAGTATTCTGAGCAGTCGCCTCCAACCACCCCTTACAGCGACCCCTGTCCTCACAACCGAGTAACAAGCATGACACTGAGCATAATCCTGAGGTCTTAAAGGCCTTAGACACGGTTCAACTTGTTTAGCAGGCAACTACTGGGATCGAAGTATAGGCACAACACTGAGACACACCATTTCGTTATAATTATTGTAAATAACATTAAAGATTCAACAATAAACAAGTATGCGTTGTATTAATAATACAACTGCCAACCTCTTCGCTCCATTTAACAGAATGAATACAAATGTGTTACCCTCAACTATTTTTAACAACCATCAAACGTTAGTGTATTGTACTTTCTTTCTACCGTCATAATTTAATGCACATCTTACACGAATAGATATCATATACAGACAAATATCGCGATGATTCGCGACACTCCACGCCCAGGTTTAGGATAGAAATAGAAAGAAAACATAGAATTATGATTGCTAACAGTTTAATGTAGAACAGATAACAAAATTAGTTCAATACGTACTCAAAATCAACAGTATCACATCATTGTAATCATATTCAATTAAACCTCAATCAATCAATTGCAAAACACTGAGAAGCTGAGCCGTCCATGCCTTGATTCTTTCCGCTGCCCTTTGAGATGAGAGTCTCTTCGGTCTAAGCTGAGTCTCTTCCGTTAGGGACTGAGATGGTGCTGAGGTGCCATTGTTCGTAGTAGCCTGTGTCCTGTCTTTTGGAGAGCCAGTGGCATGGGGTGTTGCTAATTCCTCGGAAGCCTTAGTTGGAGGCATTTGAGAGTTGCTTTCTGTTGATATTTCTGACTCAATTTCTAATGGATAGAGATGACCTATCGACCTGGTCAGGGTCTCATGTGGGGAGGTAGTGACTTTGGCTACACGGACCTTCCCATCGGCGCTCTTTACTATGCCTGATACTCTGCCGACTTTCCACAGCGCTCTGTTAGCATCGCCTTTTATCTGTACTAAATCTCCTATTTTTGGGGTAGAATCTACCGTTATACGAGGTTGACGATGCACAGATCTGCGATCTCTTAGACTAGTCAGGTACTGATTGGAGAACATGTCAATATATTCCCTCAAAATATGTTGACCTCTTTTCCAGCCCTCGACCAAATTGGATTTTGTGATCGTAGCTGATTCTAAGAACTCCTTATCTGAAGTTACAAGTATAGAAGGACCACCTGTTCGTAGGAAATCTGCAGGTGTTAAAACGTGCTCTAATTCTTCACCGACTACAGTAAGTGGCCGTGAATTTACGACCGCCTCAATTTCCTTAATAATCGTACCTAACTGAGAATGATTTAACATATGTTTGTCGACTGTTTTCTTTTAGCAGTTCTTGACAATACCGATCAATCTTTCGTAAAATCCGCCGAACCAGGGCGCGAGTTCAGGAATAAATCTCCACTTTATTCGATTCGTTACACAGTAATCCCCAGTGAGGACATCGGCTGCAAGTTTGAATTGCAGAGCGTTATCTGAGATGATTAATTTGGGGACGCCTCTAGAGGAAACAAACCTCCTTAATCCTAACAAACACTCCTCTGCAGTCAAATCTTTTACGAGCTCCATATGTATAGCTCTCACAGCTAAACAGGTGTATAAGGAAATCCAACGTTTCTCCAAACAACCATTCGTATCCACCAACACGGGCCCAAAATAATCAAGACCTACGTAAGAGAATGGTTCACTATAAGTGACTCTTTCGGGTGGTAATGGGGCCATGGGTGGCAATCTATAAGGACCTCCTGAGTATTTCTTACATGCTGGACACTGTCTGAGAAGTTTTTGTACTTGCATTCTACCTCTGGGTATCCAGTACTGTTTTCTAATAATAGCAAGAGTATGAGACACTCCTACGTGATAATTTCTCCGGTGTGCATCCTCGATTATCTTTGATGTGAAAGCGTGATCTTTAGGTAATAATATCGGGTGTTTCTGGCTATGCGACCAATCTGTATTCTGTAGTCTCCCACGACATCTGAGTATACCGTCCTCGTCTTTGTACACGTCAAGAGCTCTCACAAGATCTGTCTTCATACCCGTAAGTTCCTTCGAGAAACATTCCTTCTGAACTTGTCGGATCTGATCAATGTGATTATTTGAAATATTTGTCAAACTATAATCTGATGTTAAATGGTTTTTATCGACTTCCATTGATTCAATGACCGCAGTACGCTGAACTGTCTGTGGAATGTTTTCATTTATTTGAGAGTGAGTTTCTATTTGTTGTTCGGAGCTATCAATTGTATATCCTTGTGGCTCTGTTTCCGAAGGATCCTCCCGGCCCGCGACAACTTGAATGTGTGTATTTAACTCGTTGTCTTTTTGTGTATTTCTCGGCCAGTACATTGGATCGCTGTATAAAAAATCTGGACCTATCAACCAACGTTGCGCACTTTCAGCAGAAATATTGGGTCGTGTTGCTACATCGGCGGGATTCATATGTGAAGGTACGTACCGAATATGTGGATTGCAATTTAATTTAATTTCGTCAACGCGTTTCGCCACAAATGGCAGCAAAAGTTTTTCTGAGTTACACCAATTTACGACTATCTGACTATCTGACCACAGGTAAGTTTTAGAGATTGGAAGTCTTGAGTGTTTAAGAACAGTTTTGATGAGCCGGCTTCCGATTAAAGCCCCCAATAATTCCAACTTCGGTATATGAAGGTTAGTCTGATCCTTTTTGCTTATTAAACGTGATTTCCCTATTATGAAGGAAATTTCGCTTTTATTCTGGTGAGTGCTACGTAAGTACACGGTAGCCGCGTAAGTTTGTAGCGATGCGTCTGCGAATGCGTGAAGTTCGTGCTTTATGGAGGTATTAAAATCTTCCTTTCCGATTTCGAAACGAGGAACACTAATGTATCTAATTAGTTTCAAGCATGCACTGGCCGTTTGCCATTCTACGAGAGCTTCTTCAGCTAACTCAGTGTCCCAGTCATATTTTTGACTCCAGAGATTTTGTAGATACAACTTCATAGGTAAAACAATCGGTGTTACAAAACCACATGGATCAAATATGGAAGCTACTAGTCCCAAGATTTCTCGTTTTGTCCTAATTTGGTTTACTTTATCTTGATCTAATCGAAAATTCAGCTTCAACATGTCGTTTAGAAGATCCTATTCCAGGCCTAGCACTTTCATACGTTCTGTTGTCTTAGCTCGAAATTGTAAGGGAATAGTCTCGTTGAACTGCTCTGAATTGGAATTCCACTCACGAATATTCATAGAAAGATCGTCAAATGCCCTTTTGACACCATTATACAACTTCTCAGCATTTTCCACTGAATCTGTGCCAGTAACTAAATTGTCAACGTAAATATTTTCCGAGACTTGCTTGAAGACTGCACTGTCACTCCTTTAAAGGAAGATCAGGGACGTAGAAACTGTTAAATTCAATACCAGACTGAAAATAAGTTAATACTGATAGCTTATCTGGGAGGTGTCTTTCCGAAGTAGAATAACTGCCAGAAAAAATCCATCCGAAAGCTGAATTGATCAAGTAAAGATCTTGGGTTACTTTTCTCTTTTCACCATCAATAAATGTGAAATAATAGTCGTTACCTATTAATAAATCTATATTGTCACCCAGAGAGTTATCATCCGCTAATATAGTGTTCGATGGGACGACGCTCCCAAGAACACTCTCAGCCATTTCTCGAGGCAATGTGGATACACTATTAGTTATATGAGGAACAACGTTGGCATAAAGTATTTTGTATACGTTTGTTCTAGTGATAATTCTAAATATTACTACTGGACTATCAATTTCAGTTGGACGGTCGGCGCCAAAGGTAAAAACGGAAAGATTATTTTTCTCTAATTCAGGTAAGTTTAATCTCTTTGCAAGCTCTTTTGTTAATACGTGCGCTGACTACCAGAATCGAGAATTACTCTACAAGGCGCAATGACGGATTCTTTTTCTACATTCTGAACCTGAGCAACGGCAGTTTGCAGGAAGATAAGTCCCTTTATGTTATTAGAACCACCAACGTGTAGATTTTCTGTTCTGACAGGATTCCGAGAGGGACAGAGAGCTCTGTTATGTTCACCATATTTACTACAATGCCAACACTTCTTATGCGACTTACATTCCTTTGAGATATGACCCTTTGATAGACAATTGTAGCAACGGCCTTCTAACTTTCGTTTTCTCTCTTCAACAGTCTTCACTACATCACATTCATCGTTGAAGTGACCATTACCGCAGAATATACACGATGGTTTCCTCCGTTTGGTATCAAAGCCTCGGTAATTATTATCATCTCTGAGGTGGTTTCTCTTTCGACCATTGTTTAACTTTGTCTTAAGGTATCCGGTTACATATTCTTTTTTATCAGCGTCACGCCTAACTCCTCCTCTGCCGTAACTCCTTCTACCCTTATCTTTTTCTTTTAGTGGGAACTTCTTAAACGTTGACTGCGCCCCTCGCTGATTTTCTGTTCGAACATGTAGGGATTCTAGTGTAAATTTCCCAGCGTCCTCTTTACTAGTGGATCCTTCTGTCGAAAATGTTTCTTCTTTCATCCTACTTGACGCTTCTCGTGCGGATATAATATGTTCCAAATGACGTCTAATATTCTCTATGGAATCTGTTTCGGTTCCCATTTTCATTCGAAGTTCATAAATTAAATCCTCTGAGAATTTTTGCATGATCATCACTCTGAGGTGGTTATGGCTAACGTCTTCACCTAAAGAACTCAGTACCCTAAGATGTCTCTCAATTTCATTTAAGACCCGTCGACAATCTGAAACCGATTTATCTGCCGTCCTTATTCTATACAACGCTGCATAATGAGCATCAATTATTGTTCCAGGTTTTCCATACCTTTCTTTAAGGGTAGATACCGCTATCTGATAATTTTTATTTGTCATGTCTAAACCTTCAATTGCTCTTTTCGCTTCACCTTCAAGTACCGATTGTAGATACAACAGTTTGTCTACCTCACTAATGTTTCTACTGTCTACATTCGATGAGAATTGGTCCCAGAAAGGATGCCATTTTAAAACGTCTCCATTGAACTTGGCTAGTTCCATTTTTGGCAACTTACTGGCAACATTGAGTTTCTCTACAGTATTAAATGTCGAAAATGGTTCGCTGTTCGCCTTTTTATTCACCCTATGATTGAGCTCTGTTACCAATTCTTCCCCTTTTATCTGAATATCCGTATATTTTGCTAAATCATCAGGCGATGTTACCTCTACCAACTTATAATAATTATACGTTTCAGCAACGAAGCGGTCTATGGCAGATTTCAATTTTGTTGAAACAATTTTAGCTTCATCTAAGTCAATGCCGTCTGATTTTAATTTAATTAACATGTCCTGACCAGTATCTATAAGACATTCGACGTTCGCTAAGAATAGATTCATTCTAGTTTTAATCAACTCCTCCATCACTATAAAAATAAAGGACCAACTCGCTTCACTCAAATAAACCAACTATTCGCACAGGCTACTGAACACCCCTTTAACGTAGCTGATTGTACAACTGTGGGTCCCAACTGTAACAACGAGTTAGGATATCTGAGACATCTAAAGTAGATATAAGTGCTTATGTAAACTGAATTCACTGTGAAACGATAATGAGCCAAGAAACAATTTGTATCATTGATTGAGAGATCGCTGCCATACTTCAAACATGTGTATATGTAGTAAAATAATTTATTAAAATAACATAATGTTTATAGCGATTTACATATTGTTGTAAACATTATCCATGCATAACAATTCGAATATACAAATTTTACTTGTTTACTAATATAAATTGTAATCTTTAAAACCACTGATCCATTTTTCTTTCTCTTAATTTCTTCGCCAACAAAAATAACACTATTCTTATATGATATAATAAATTCCATGAAAAAAAATTTTCGAAAAAGTTTGTATATAAAATAAATATAGAATACAATTGTTCACAGTGCCTATTATTTCATTATAAATTTTTGTAGGTAATGTATTTGTTCAAAATAAAATTGTCTATGGTCCGTGATTACAATAGCCGCTGTCAGAAACGGTTCGATATTCACTCGTGTAATTTTTGATAAACACAAGTAAGTATCTAGATCGAATCAAAAAATAATATGAGGAGCCTGTATACATTACTACGACAAATTACTACGATAAATAATACCCTAAACACAAAACTACAATTTATGTTTTCCAAAAGATAAGAGGGTAGGTATAATATTTTCATATACGTGTGTCCACATCGATCCCAGCACCTCCACCATGTCGTTAAAGTCGTAACTCGCTACGCAATAACGATGAAACACTGTATGAACTAATTATATATATATCACACACACATGCATGCACCGACACTATATGTGTGAGCATACACACACAATTACACATATATATATGCATATACCAACTTATATAACAGAATAGATATCTGAGCTGAGATTCATTTATGAAACTGAGTTGGATGCGAATCCAATGCAACCTAAATGGTTCATAACACTGAGCCGTGTGACGAGTAACTGAGAGTGCACACCATATGTACGTTTGATACTGAGGAGGCTGAGTCCCTTGGTTATGTCCAACGGGATGCAGTACATTGTTATAGTAAACTACTAAACTACGTGCACCAATGAGTAACATACGGAGCTGAGTTCGATCTGAGTATTCTGAGCAGTCGCCTCCAACCACCCCTTACAGCGACCCCTGTCCTCACAACCGAGTAACAAGCATGACACTGAGCACAATCCTGAGGTCTTAAAGGCCTTAGACACGGTTCAACTTGTTTAGCAGGCAACTACTGGGATCGAAGTATAGGCACAACACTGAGACACACCATTTCGTTATAATTATTGTAAATAACATTAAAGATTCAACAATAAACAAGTATGCGTTGTATTAATAATACAACTGCCAACCTCTTCGCTCCATTTAACAGAATGAATACAAATGTGTTACCCTCAACTATTTTTAACAACCATCAAACGTTAGTGTATTGTACTTTCTTTCTACCGTCATAATTTAATGCACATCTTACACGAATAGATATCATATACAGACAAATATCGCGATGATTCGCGACACTTCTATTTGAGTATTTAATCGAATTAGTGCTAATTGGTAGTTATTGGTGTTAATTCACACATTTCAACTTAAAATGTAAAGTAACAATAAAATTATTTAAAAGAGCAACACGCAAGTTTCTAGCTCGTTCTTCTTGTAATGAGACAGCTTTCCGAATGAGCGGTAGATTAAAAAAATGTGATGATTAATCAAAAGTGCTTCAATGTAAGTTTATTAGAATAAATGATTTTCTATTCTATTCTATTCTATTCCTTTCGTATATAACACCTTCCTTATAATATTAACTTATAAAGAATTTACACATAAAATAAATTCTCAATTGACGGTAATTGATGACTCTGGCTATTTACAACGATACGGCGTAGTTATACGATTTAGGAAAATGTCATCAGGTTTACGTCGTATCACAAATTGTAATCAGTTACACAACGGCCCGTTTTAGTAACAATGACATTTTGAGGAAATTCCACAAATATTGCACATCAAAACGTCATCATAAAATTTAAATTTAGATCAATCGTGCAACTGAGTTAGACTCTAAATTGTATAAAACAATTTCGCTGTACGTGTATCTTTGTTTGATTATTCATTTCTTCTAAACTGCCGAGTGGACTAATGCGGATTTCGTTGTCACTTAATATATAGGGACAAAGAGTAACTTGACCCTGAGGGTAACGCAGCTGGAATTGAGTTACAAGGCGAGTTTCCAGGCTTGTGACCCGGGTTTCCATCAACATGCTGGCCATCTTTATGAAGGACGACTACTAGCCGAAGTGGTGCATCGGCGCTACCATGGCGATTGCCATCGTCAGTGCAGTAACCACACAAACTGTTCGGGTTATACTGAAACCACAGATAACATAATATTACATACTGAAACTATAATAAATGCTGTTAAATTATATTCTGATAGTAGTAAGTTTTGATAATAGTTTGAGTACGTGGATGATGAATAATATAAAACAATGTGAGTGTTACTGCTTTATTAGTACTGAATTATATACATTGATTATTACCGACAATATAGCGACATTCTGCTGACAACTCAGATTTGTATTTGACCTAAATTGTACAACGTTGCTCGTACACAGACAATTTCAATATATCAGTTTATACATAATATTAATTCATAGATAACATCATGTAGTGCTATTCAGATGTACCTACAGGTCATGGTACTACTTGCCATCAGGTAGGCCGACAGTCTGTTTACTATTTCGGTTACAATATAAAAATAAGTACATTTTATTAAATTTACTAAAATAATAAAATCAGGACAGGACACAGCGCCATCTAGTCACAAGTTAAGCTACCTAAAGGTTGTGTTATGGGTATCCATAGATAACTGATAAATACATAGATTATTTTTCGTAAACACATACATATTATATATAGAAAACACCCAGACCGACACATGTTTGCGCCGTGCGAGGAATCGAACCCGCGACGATCGGAAGTGAGGCGGTGTACTAAACCCCTAGACCACCGAAGCCGTCGAAAAAATCTTCTTTATAAACGAGCATGGCAACATATTGGTGAGATTATTGGATCGGAAATGATCCAATCTTTATTGACGTGCCGATGAAAACCGTTAATTAATATTATTATTGTATTTGATTGATGTGTTTTTATATTACTGTCAGTTAAACAAACAAACAGGTTACGGATTCATATTATGGAAAATTATGACGAGGCCATCATCATCATCCCTCATACATTGCTGCATCTGTTAGTCTACTTCTGAAACCAATTTCAATCGACATTATTTTGCAGTTCGTACTCTTGATTCGTACTTGAGTTCGTACTCATTTGGAATGTATTTTTTTATGGTGCACTCGTTTTCGCTAACGATTTACGCTTGCGGGACACGAGTGGAGAATAAGATAAGCATGAGGTCAGATAAAAATAAAACAACGATATAGGTATGATAATGTATTTTATACTAGTCTTACGGTTTTAACGTATTAGACTTTCCAGATTTGATAAATTCACCATCCACGAAATTAAAAGACCATCCTGATCATCTTGTGATCCTCCCGTGCGTTTTACCAGAAACTCTTTACCACGGCCAACAACATTGTGGAATCATCTTCCAGCAATGATATTTCCAAATCGATATGATATCGAAACATATAAACGAAAAGAACTTATTCCTTCTTAAAATGGAAGCGCCTTTAAAATTCCCTTCCCTGGTATTGCGGGTGTTTATGGGCGGTGAAAATCACTCAATCAAAAATGAGTCGCAATCTCGTTTCTCTCCTATTTTATAAAAATGACTTTGTATAGTACTACTATTAAGATTGAATATTTAAACCACCAAGCAGCTTGCTATACGAGTTTCTGTTGAAAGCTAAGATGGTATTGAATATATAAAGTATGGATGACTTCTCTTAGTTCTCAGGAATGACCACCCATGAATAGTGTCATTGACGTGATATTCGTGTTCAAGTATTTAGGTACAGTGGTACAGTGGTACCTGGTGCCCCCAGGTGGGCTGGAACCTTGTTTCCCATTCTAGTTACATAAAAAAGTAGTTGGGGCAATATATCTTGAGACATCAACTATGTTAAGTGATTAATTCCGACCGAGGAATTGCAGAAAAGTTGCCGGCCTTTTATGGCGAAATATGCTCTTAATTTTAAACTTTCAATATCATATTTTGACACTTCCAGTCTATATGGTAGTTGACAAAAATATTTTGTATATATTTTTATATTTCGCTCGATTTAAAAACTGACCTCTGTGACCAATTAATTATGCATTTCCTGCTGTCACGACCACGTGATTCCTGACTCTTGGCACCGTTTCCTACACATCTCGTTAGGGCTACCATCTCTTGTTTTTTTAATTAAATTGAAAAAATAACGTAACCCCTTACTCGATGGGAAGCGGTAGCTATCTCTTAAGACCCGGTTAATAATATAAATAATATTTATTTAACATAAAAGTAGAAAAAAGGCATGACATCTTAGTTCTTTAGAATGGCAATGCGTCAGTGGTATCACGGATGTCACATGATAACGTGATCATGTATATAGATGACCGTTACTGGTTACCATCACGTGGTTCATCAGTTTGTTTACCATTCTAATTACATTAAAAAAATCTATCTCTGATGTAATAAAATATATAGTAACCCTATTTTGTGATCTACTGAGCTATAAAATATAGAAACATTGGATTTGTGTGAAAATAAAATGGATTGTAAAATCTACGGTTTTAACAAGCAAAATAGATGTTCGCGCCTAATTATTTATTGAAATAACTATTCCAGGCAACAGATCACTATAACTCCGTCTGATATTAATTAATATAGAATATTCACTTTTAGTGTAACGTTGCCAATTTATATTTTCTGTCCTGTGGGAACAATAAAATTCGACATAAAAGTGGTGAGATTATACAGTACCCGTCGTAGTGAGATTCATAAATTTTCTTTGAAAAATATCACAACAAAATCACATAATATCATCATTATTTACTTACTCAAAGGCTATAAAATGTTGATATTATTTATTTAAATAAAGTAACAACCTGTGACAATTGTGCATATTATCATATGTATGTATATATATTATATATAATGCACATTAACGTGTACCAGTTACTTTTAGATTCAGTGTACTATGATGATGATGATAATGTACTAGCTTTATATTCAATATACTAACAAACCGGATTTCCTCATCAATTTTTTCCCACTGTCTCGTCAAGATGCAAACAAACATACAAAAATATACTATAGGGGAACATCAAAAATCAAAAGAATCAAGAGGATACTTCAAATAAAGTTGGCAGCGTGTTTCTTCATCTAATTCTGCCGTCAGAAACTTACTTTGCAATCTGTATTAGGATTTGAAGAGTCAGACAACTCTCTCGTGAAATTTCTCGTGAATACTCCATACGATATCACATAGAATTTCACGTTTATAGTGCTATTTACATAGATGAAGGTTTCTTTTGATTCCTAACAAATATTAAAAAAACAAACATAGGTACAACGTAAAAAAATCAACATTTATCTGATAAGCTGTGTAAGATTGTTATTTGATCGCAAGACCGAAGGTATTTCCTTTATATGACCTGGTACGTGCCCGTGAAAATCGGTAACCTTCGTAGCCTTTATTAGACGTAAACAACATACATCATATCGTTAGACTTGGCAATGCTCTTGTGATGTTTTTAGGGCTACTTATCGAAAGTAAATCTCATCAGTTGTCTATTGTGTGAGATTTGTGAGGTCTTTCAATCGCACCCAGTCATAAAGAACATTTAAGTCACATATATAAATATAAGACATAAGTCACAGGTAGAAGTCCATATGAATTTATATTATTTTATACTACACTGTCCAGTTCAGATAAAGGAAAACTCAAACATTATTCTTCCAAAAATGAAGTATATAATATCCTAGTACTTAATTATAAGTATATAATTCTCTTCTTTGAGTGTATACGCCTAACATTCTAGGTATTGAAAACTGCCTACGACTGCGTGGGATTTCATCGACTATGCAATGCATGTTTGTCACATTTTATACAAACAAAATATGCAATTTGTGTTAAGTACCATTAAAAGTATGAGCATGTATCAATTATTTTATTGTTTAAAATTTTCATTCAAAATACTATTTTCTGACACTTACTAATGCAATACGCCTACTGAATTCAAAATTAGTCTTACTAGTACCAAAGATCTAATATCAACCAGAAGAGTACCTGAAAAGTGAAATATGCACTGAAACTCTGTTCGAATTTGCTAAAAATATATTAATTTTTACATGATTTTCACTATATCAATGAATTCAACCAACCAGCACGACAATTGGTACCAATAGTCCAACCATGACGGCCGCTAAAGATGCTATTTTGTATCTGTGTTTCCTTGCATTTACATTCATGTACGCCTCAAACCTATGGAAGCCATTAACATCATACTTCATTCTTTGGTACTCCTTCAATTGATTGACGAAACCTGGATTAGGGTTGATGAATCTTCTTCGCTGTCGCACATACGAGAATGCCTGGTCAAAAGTCAGCTTATACCTCTTCATAAGGTAAGCAATGACCAGAGTGGCGGACCGGGAAACTCCGAAATGGCAGTGGACCAGCACGTTCCCTTTCTGCAGGCCTTCCTCGATGAAGGCATTGGCCATAGGGAAGTAGGGCAGGAGATTGGTTTGAGGATTGTCGTAGGCCCTAATGAAGAGCGTGTCAATATTGGTATTTTCAAAAGTGGATTTCGGCAGCCGATGCGTTTCAATGGTGAGCACATGGGTGATGTTAAGATACCGGAGCACAGCCTTGTCCGCAGCTGCCCTGGCATTGCTGAGGTAAAGGCCCGGGATTATCTGACTGTAACAGGACTGTGTGCAGAGGTCGATCTTGTGGTACAGCGCTTTTCTGGACCAGTGTTTGAAACCAGTGAAAGCGACAACCGGTCTCGGGATGCTGAGAAAAGCGACAATGAAGGCGCTTCTCAACATCACCGTTATGAAACCTCTGACACTAAACATACTTTCAACGTTATTATCTCCTCACATGGTGCCTTTTTTTGTTAATTTATATTGTTATTAGATTTTTTTACACATGTAGCGTAATTTTGACGCGACGTTTATGAAGAGTAATTTGACATATAGTTTTGTTCTTTTCTTTTGTGGTTAAAATTACGACGAGGCCGGAGCAATGATATGTTTTGATAAAATCTTCTTTGTTTCGAAATTTATAGCGTGTCATGCGCCGCATATGTAGGTCACCTGGATGTTTGAATTGAGGATGGGATTATGGATTATTTGTAAATATGAATACTTAATAATTATTAAATTAAATATTTTTTGTATGAATCTGTGTAACAAAATTTTCTTCATAATATAACAGCGAATACGTGCTTGTTATCAAGACTTTAATTATTCTGTAACAATGAAATTGTCTAGGCTATGTAACAATTCATCACGTCGAAAACTCAGCGGCCGAGAATGTTCATTTGTTTGAAAATTAGGTAAAATACAAATTTACCACTAATCATTGATTTTAGATTTTCACGTTTATTATATTTTAATTTTATAGTAAACAAACTGTGTTTTTTTAGATAAAATTTACCTCCTATTGATATAATGTATTTTCATGACAAACCTTAAGATTCCTTAAACAGTTTTCACGTGAAATGGTTACAAACAGTTTTATAAGCAAATACACTTTTTCTTTGTAATATTAGTATGTGTAAGGTATGCATTTACTTCTCTTGATGTTTTGAATTGGTTATCTACACTAGCCGTGGTTACGACCTGACAGGAGTACAGATATGTCCAATGTCCATGTCGGTATAGATGTCAGTAGTTTCTTCAACTACCGTCACTAGATTGTGCATTGCTCAGTTCGCGTAGTACAAAGTAAGTAGCTTAGCTGAAGAATTCTCCCCACATAAAAAAAGGTTACAAGTAAGTAAAGTCGTTCTATTGTAGCCTCCCTTATATTTTATGTAAGACACGAGTAATTACATTGTGCGTATAAATATTAAACAAAATTATTTTAGATTTAACTACTATACAGCTGAATTAGCTAGTATTTACTACAACACTTCATCTTCATTTATATAGTTGCATTAATGTTATAAAATGTTAACATTTTACTAACCTCAAAATCAAGTACTGTTGAGTTCTGTTATATTAGGCGATAAAATTTATTTGGTATTCAGACGAGTGTTAGTAAAACATTTGTATACTAACTACTAAGTGTAATATCGGGTGTGTAATATCATCTGTGACTATAGTCGACTATAACGCGTTATAACGTGTTCGACACACGTTATAGTCGTTCTCAATATCTTCGTGTTTCAGTGATCCCGTTTATATTTCTTGCGTTTGTGAAAATAGTTTAAATTGCAATATTTGGTTAATGTTAATGTTTAATTTGGCTAATGCTATATGCTATAATATGAAACTTTTAATAAAACTTATACGAGACCCTGTCACACCACTTTGATGACTATCAAGTCATGGATGAAAGATGAAGGTACTGCAACAGAAATATATGATTACCGTTCTGGTTGTCAAACCTTTATTGGCTTGTGTCATTATTTGTTAAAACGTTTAGGTATGCACTTATCAATACCAATACTATTGGTTTTGTAATTTTGGGGACTATTTGTTACAACTAATGTTAATGAAATTTGATATAAAGGTAGAATTTATGATGTGGATACGAAAAAAAGCAGACGATGTCTCGGGATATTGTTTTATATTATACGTAAGTAAATATATAATATATAGTAAATGTTACATTACGTATATTTTGAGTATTTTTTTTCTCATTGTAATTTGTGAAATGAAATTCCATTAATATTAATTTGAATAATCAGACCATTTCCGTGAAACTTTCGAACAAAAGCACTCCTGTTTTTTTTTTATACTCGTTCTAAATGACATGCTCCATTTATGTATTCAGATATAAAATATGATAACCTTTCGCCTTTCTTATTACAGATCTTTCCAAGAAAATGATATCACTCTAGATAATTAGGCTGAAATCAAAAATACCCCAAGTAAAAAAATGAGACTGCTAACATTTCTCTCGAATTTCAAACAGTTTCACCTATCGAGCGTCAATGCTCAACGGACAAATTCAACAATCAGGTTAATAGCACCGCTCTTATACCTTCCTATCGATCTATTTATAAAGTTCGCAAAGATTTATACTAAAGCCTAGAGATTATAAGTGTTGTGTACACAATGATGGATATTTTTGGAGCGTCGGTCCGTCGGTAGGGTCCGCTCTCAGCAGTTTGGTTGTGGCAGGCGCCGGGGACGCGACGCACCGTCCACATCGCGTTTAAACTTAACCAGTGAATTAGTGCCTTTGTGTAAGTGAGTGCTTATTAATCGATTAATGCTTCGGGCAGTGTTCGTGTCGTGAAGTGAAGGATGCTTGGTGCTAACATACTAATGCATGAGCTGATTTTTCAGTGCGTGGGCACTGGGTGTAGGCTTGGAAATTTGATAAGGCGAGGAACAACTGGCCGCTTTTGTATGCGTCGAATGGTCGAGCGCGAACTATTTTTGAACTGGGGTCGGGATATCTCCCGCGGCAGTCGCCGTAGCCGCCCGCCCGGCTTTCCGACGCGCCCAATTTCCATGCGCGCGCGTCGATCATGAATGATTTATTTATTGCAGGCTTGATTTTCATTATTACATAATATACACAATATAAAATATAATATCAATTAAATTTTGCAACATTTAATTTTATTTTGTGAAATTTTTTCAATATCATTTTCATAGAAAAATATAATCAAATTATAATTATTAATGTCAATTATTTAATGAAGTGTAATTAAATGATGTAAGTAGGAATAAGAATAAATTGTAATACTTATATGTAATCTAATTAATAAATTTATAAACTGCGGGCAGCCACAATATATATTTTCGTGGGGCAAAAAAAAAGCAAGACGAAATAGAAAAAAAAATAAAATACAAAAAAGGGCACGGATCTGAAAAATGACAATTATTTTTTGTCGTAACTATTATGAAATTTATAATTATTGAATGCTTAGCTTCTTGTTCATAAAATAATTTCTTATTCAATAGTAGTCAACGCTACTGCGTCGTGCATCGGTGAAAATTGTAAGCTTTTACAAATTTAAAATATTTTTAAGATATAACTTTATATATTTATTTTATTTCGAACATTATTGTATATTTACATCTGTAATATTTAAACTTAGTCTCTATCATCATCATTAGGAACTACTTATTAAAAACACTTAATAAAAAAAATATAAGAAAAAAAATAAATACTAAGAAGAAAACGTCTAATATTTGCTAAATTTCTATAGTATATTCCATAGACTGATATTAGATAAATAAAATATATTTTTAAAACTATTGCTTTCAAAGGGGGTTGCATTTACCCGTGAACTAATTCAAGAGCAACAAAATAAAATTAAAAGACCCCATAAAAAACGTTGAAAGTTAAGAATTATTACATTCATCATTACTCACTCATCATCATCATCATTCATTTTTACTGTGCGCGGGTTTCCTCATAACAGGTATCATTAGTATCTTCATGTCATGGTTTGTACTGCAAGTTGTCCGTCATCCGTATTCAGTTTTATGACATCCTGAAATATATTTTCATAAAACACATGAAGGAAATTATGAAGGAAAATTTGCAATATAAACTTACATGAATGTTCACAATAATGTTTTCTATCTATGTTCAATCCAGGACTCTCGTAGGGTAAATTAACAAATTAAATAGAGTGTTCTGTATGGAAATAAGTAATTTATCAAAATAAACAGTACATGTATTTTGGAAGAATATAATTTAAAACAAATAATAGTCCAATGAAGACATCATTAGAACGGCATTAATTTGTCTTCATTATTAATTATCATTAGCTTCTACTAAGTGCCGTTAGCTGTTATCACTTCAGAAAATCTTTAATTACCTCTATAAAATATTAATTTAAAAAAACATCTCAGTACATAGAGGTTTATTACCTATACACACTTAACGTACTATATATTTTATATCTAATAGAAAAATTGTTTGGAATTGAAATAGTCTATGGAAAGTTGATTCAATTATATGTAGTAGTAATTATTATCTCCTAGAGAAATAAGTAGGAATAAAATCTTAATATATAATAATATATTTAGACTCCTACAAACAAATCTGTTATCTTATATAATGTCTGAAGCTGGTTAATAAGTACCAAAAAATAAAAGCTTTATATCATGATAAAGCAACCATTTATAATATAATAGTTAATTAAAAAAACTCAGTTTGCCAGTGTATTAACATATTTTGTATTAAATTTCCACACTGTAACAATATATGTGCAATATTCAGGGGAAGGGGATTGTTTGTAATAGGCACAGTAAGCAATGTAACTGATGGTTCCATACGGAAACTGGCCTGATCTGCCTCTAGGCTTATCCTATGCACTTGTGCACCACCAGCGTATACCGCTAGAGCAACTGGTAACACTATTCCATTTAAATTATCACTAATTATAAAAATTTACAATAAACCCATTAACGTATATTCTATAGTAAAAAGTTACATTCACAATTTATTAACATACTAGCCCTGTCCGCGGTTTCATCCGCGTCAAATTTATAGCCTATATTTTATTCTGATGTATAAGCTAAATTACTGTAAAGTTTCATCAAAATCCGTTCAGAAGTTTTTGTATTCTTGTCAATCCATAATGTACCAATCCATACTCACAAACTGTCGTATTTATAATATTAGTTAGATTAATATTATGCACACAATTATTTCTGAGGATGGAGGGTTGGATATCTGTTCCAATTTCACGCAAAAAGTAATGAATGAATTCGAATGAAATTTGGCACGCAGTTGAATCACATCGCAATTTACCGAATTAACGCGGGGAGCAGTGTATCCTGCAGCATAATTTACGTAATAAATAAAAAAGTTTGCATATACTCGTCTCTACAGATATGTGCTATTATCTTATCTGTGCCACAGAGACGGACTATTTCACTGAGTGATCTCTTCCAATCATCTTATACTATATGCATACATAAATATTATAATAGTACATATTAATATAAATATATAACATTTATGTATATTGTAAAATATATAATAATGTACAAAATATATATTAAAT